TGACCGTCACATTATAACGCTGCCACGGCTGAAAGGGCGAGCATTTTTGGTGTGACGGGTGTTCGAACCCGCAGATTACGAGTCGAGCGCCCTAGCCACCTGGCCATGCCGGGCTCAATACCTTAGTATGGAAGGTGGTTGGTAGAGTGCTGCTAACTGGCTGCTTTTCTTCCTATTAATCAGCGGTAAGTTTACGGACTTACAATGCTAAAATCCGTAGTTAGATCCCCACGCGGTGGACACAGCAGATAGCTCAGTGTGTCTTTGATCTAAAAACAACAACAAACGAATTGTCTGCTTTTCCTCTGGTCAGTAGTTCAAAGTTAGGGACGACAGAAAAATCGTCTTAGTATCTTAGCCATAATTACAGTTATTAACAAATGATTCATGATATAATATATAAGTGAACTGAAAACACAGATATTCTAGTGAAACGTTATGAACTTGGACCACGAAGTGTAAGTCAAGGATTCATGCAACTCCCAACTTCGTTAACTAGCAAAGAGGTTTTATTCCCAGGTCGGAGAGGAGATTTTGAGTCAACACAGAACAAGAAAGGATCCGCTTTCTTTTCTCTGAAAGCATAGAAATAGAGTAGTCATTAATTTTCCTATAAAAAAAGTATTTTCACTTTGTACGTAAGCATGCATAAAACAGATTGAACATAACTTGTTATTAATACCTTTATGTTAAATCTGACAGTAATTGTAGTCGAATAAAATATTCTGAGATTGACTCTTACTAAATCTGAATAATACTGATTTGAGAGATTACTAAATGTGCTTGAATTTATTAGAAACAGATGACAGGTTAACCTTAGAAGTTCAGGTGGGAATCAATATGGACCCCATCGACTTTTTAAACATATTTCTCTAAACTATTTGTGCCTAAAATTGTTTGTGGATCCATGTATGTTGGTTACAGATACTCACACAAAATGAAACAGAAATAACCACAACACTGAAATGAATTTCGTTAACTGATGCAGAAGTCTCCTATCCATTTTACTTCGAAAATGATTTCACCCACTTTGTTTAGGCCAGTTCTTTACCTCTATGTGATGTAACAGGCAAAAACATACAATTACCGAACATGGTACAATATGTGGACCCTACCGGCAGTGAACAGTCGGTAATTTGAGGGTTAAAATCCATAAATCTGAAATTAGTGTTTCACCAAGGTATCATTGCATGAATAATTAAACATGGATTTGGAGTTAGCAGTGAGATATCACTATCGATAAGCTAAACTCAATTTTCAAAATATAGAACAGATTTAGATACAATAAAAATTTGGTCTTAAAACTATGAAAGTAATAGTAAATGCAAAAAAAAAGGTAAATTATTGTATAATATACACATAAAGAATATTTTGCTTTTTAATAGTCACAGTCCATAATATATATATATGTGTAGGCCAAGCAAATGTGAAAGCATTTTTGCCGCTGCTGTATCTATTTTTATTTCAACAGCTATAGTAATAGAGTCTAAGAGCTTAGGTATGAAAACCAACTTGCTGTGGAAACAATAAATGTAAAAAAACTTACTTCCATGTTCACTGATTTAGTTGAAACTATTTAAAATTAAGAACCAAGCACTGTACCTCGCCCCCAGTGGCACAGCGGTATGTCTGCGGAATTACAACACTAGAAACTGGGTTTCGATACCCGTGGTGGGCAGAGCACATATAGCCCTTTGTGCTTAACTACAAACAAACAAACAATGTACCTCGCCCCCAGTGGCACAGCGGTATGTCTGCGGACTTACAACGCTAGAAACCGGGTTTCGATACCCGTGAATGGCTTGATTTAAACGTTCCAGTTGCTGACTATAGATCTCTGCATTCATAGTTCGCTGTGAATTGAGGAGTTCGAAATGAATTACTCCTTTGATGTCCCACCAAATACAAAGCATCACTTTCTGCGGAGAGAATTCATATTTTGGAGTCGGAAATGGTTTTTGTCTAGGAATGAGCCATTGTTTTTGGCATTTAATATTTGCATATAAAATGGTTCACGCGTATTATGTGCCAGAAGAGACGAAGCAACATTCACACGTTGGAAACGATGATCATCGGAGAGTTCGTGAGGCACCCAAACACCTTCTTTATGGAGTTTTTTCACAATCCTTAGATGTTTACGTATTGTTTCATGAGAGACATGCAATTTCAAGGCCATTTTACAAGTGTGTTACCTTGGGTTAAACTCAACAAGCGTCTTCAGAGCATCAGTATCAATTCCGGTATGTCGGTTCCTGCCATCACAGTTTTTAAGACTAAAGTCACCCGAACGAAATTTGCTGAACCGTCATTGACATTTACGAACGTTCAAAACATTTCCATAAACTTTTTTGATTTTATTGGTGGTTACAGAGGCGTTGTTTCCCTTCTTGTATTAAAACAACATTAAATGCTGAATGCGTGTCTCATCGTGTGCCATCACTATGTGGGATTAGAGTATATTAAACTTTACACATTATATAGGCTACACTAACATGACGTTTAGGCGGTTCATTTAGCTATTATACGTGATTATACTTTTTTTTTGGGGGGGGGGTAATAAAGTGTTCCAAGACGCGACATTAATTTCTTGACAACCTAATACTTCTAACAACTTCACCTTGACTAGCTATAATACAGGGTGGTTATAAATATAAATAGAGTTTTGCGGTTTAGAGCAACATATGTCACAGGACAGAGGAAGATAGTATAGCAGGGGCATCAAGGATATCATGCGGTTGCAAATACCACAGTGGTCACATGTTACCACCAGAAGCGTCACCGTGTTTGTTTGTTTTTCGTATATTTCCCATGGATAAAACTGGGCCTCTTGATTACAGTGTAACCCATTCTACCAATATGAAACTGACAAGTGTGAACTCGTGAAATGTTATTACACCAAATGATGCAATAGTAAGGCAGCTCTCAAGGAATATTACAGAGCACATAACATCTGCAGAGTGCATTATTCCAGTGTTGCTACAAGTTCATAAAAATTTAGAGACAGGTTGCATTTGTCATAAGCGACGTAAGGTGGACCATCAACACCTACTGTGGCATATGTGTGCCTGAGGCATTCACAACACTCTGAAAAAATGGTCTGTGACGGTGCCCAGGATAATGGTCAAGTTAAGTGACGAAAACTAGATAAGAAGCATGGGAAGTCCTATAGTTTTCTTCCTTGAAATAGTGGTTGAATCGAGACTGCGCACGAACTGGCAAAAAAAAACAAAACAAACAACAACAACACACAACTGGTAGAGGACTTTTCCTAAACCATACAACATTCTCAGGTCACTGCCTAGATTCAGTGACCAGTTTTTCCTTTCTTCAAGTCGTTCATCTGGAAAATATCATTTTCACGTTTTACCAATGTTCCAATGTTTAAGCTTAGGTTCCACGAGGATACAAAGTAGCACAAAAAGAAAAAAAAACTATACAAAAACAAATCCCATGGTCATGGAACCAAAACTTTAACCATACTATCTTACACCGATTTCTAACAAGTAAGAATAATAACAGTAATAATCGCTGTAATAAGACGTTTGATAGAAAATATATTGCAGAATTAATTTGAATTCTGACGTACAAGTTATATAATAAAGCAAAACACTTTATTTGGAAATTATACGAGACAAGAAAATAAGAACAATTCAGTGTCTAATAAGCATGTGCACAGAATGAAGAGCGATCATGCACTTCTTTCCATAACCGTGAGAAAGATCTGTATCAAACTAAAATGTGACCAAAACTGAAAGGCTCAACTGCTACATACACATTCTGATAGGTTCAAGTTCCTCAGAAAGCATATGTTCTCCACGTCACCCGATCGTTCCCATTAAGAGATATATAAGAAACTGAGTATTTAAGTATTTATAAATCTTTACACGACTGGTGCAACTAAATAACCAATTAAGATAAGTCCAAAGGAATTCTCCAGTGATACCTTCGACGGTAACATATAGAAACACCAAAGAGAAACGACCTTTGCTAATTTGTATCTAACACAAAATAAGATCAATACAGTCTAAAGCTTTTATCTGCATTTTATGCATTAATATAATGTATAATATAATCATTATACATGATTTTGTATAATGTTTTATGTGGTAAATTCTCATGTAGATGAGAATTTTTCAAATTTTTGGTAAACAAGTAATGTTAAAATTTCTAAACTAAAACAAAAAGAAACACCTGGCATGTTTACCTAAATTATTATACTACATTGATTTTGTATAATGTTTTTGGAAATAACAGACATTGTTGTTTTGTTTTTCAGAGTTCCTCTGAATGTACTTAATTCCCAGAAAGTTAATTAGAATTTTATTACTATTTTGAACAGACTTGTTTCAACCGCATTGTTCTAGCAGGTTTTAGGAGCGACATTATTTGTATAATTCTCTTTCTTTTTTCTTCCATCCATTTATCAACGTAGAGTAAATAGCATTTTTTTGTTTTAAATTCTTTCAAATGCAACTTTTGGTCATATGCTTATGTGTGATGATCAGAAAATTGAAGGTGATGATTCGTCATTTACCTATATGAGGGGTGATAGTCAGGTCCATTCAATTTAAGTTTCATTGAATATGCATCAATATTGATAGATGTATTTTCTTTAGGTCAGTTGACAATAGGTTATGCAACACCTCACAACTCGATTATAACTTCACTGCACCTAAGTAAGCTTTGATACTATCTTGGATATACACATTTGAAAATCTTGGGTTTAGAATCAGAATATTATGCAGAATTGAAACACAATCAATGTAAGACTTGTGCAGCACAAATATTTGTAATAGTTTATAATATACGTCTTTTCATGTAGCGAGTAAAAAATGTATAACATGTTTTTAGATATTGTAATCTTTATTTTAAGATGTATGAATTAAAAATACAGAACAATCATACTGGCATACTATCACTAACCTTGAGTTGATGCTCAGACGAATTATCTTCACGCTGCTGAGAAACAACATATGTTCCTTATCCGAATCCATGGACCAAATGTCTGGGTCAAGAAATAGCAGTAAGGACTGAGACCAACTTATGGTGATTCCTTTCAACTGTCCAATGTCCCTTTTACTTGTTACTAAATAAGAATATTGTGCTCCACTTTGGAATCTTTCATTTCTATAAAATACAAAAAAAAAAAGAGTAAAACAAGTTTCTAAAGTTGTTACTTTAAGTTGGTGGTATATTTAGTATTTTAATATTTTCAACCTGAATGGCGTTTTATGTGGTACCTGGACTATATAGCTAGGTCAGAGATCCCATGATTCAGGTATCAACGTTTTCAATTTAGAATTGCTGATCAGAGCGAGTGACATCAAGTAAGCAGCGCCCATTACCTACACAATTACTTTCAACCGTATAGAGGTTTGACTATCACACTTATAATGCTCTCACAGCTGAAAATTCGGAGTTTATTTAGAGACATATTACGATACAGACCTTCAGATCCACAACCCGGAATGCTAGCCACTAGGCTTAGCGATTGTTTGTAACTAGAGTTACACCATTACTTTTAATTTTCACCTGTTTATATTAAAAATGATCTCCTCTTCTTAAAAATAAAAATAAAACGAGGAATAATTGAATGCAACTCTTCATAGCACCTTCATGGAATATTTAAATTGTAATTTCCCACAATTGGCAACGAAGTTAATGTTTGTTAGACCCACAAGGATGGTGAATCATAGGCATAGTGATAGTTAATTGTAATATATTATGACACCAAGTATATGTATACTGAAAAAAAAATTGAAAGAGAGAAGGGAAAAACGGAAGAACTGAAAAAAAGGAATAACAGAAAAGGTAAGAAGAATGGAACGAAAGCAGAAAACAAAATTGAAATATTTTATAATGGTCTAAAAGTTGTAGTGAATTTTTTTTGGCTCTATTAAATTATACTATTTTACCACATATTAGATACAGATTGACTTACATAGTTATCAACTGCTAGATGTATAACTATAAGTACAATGAAACACTTGGTTAGCTTAGGTGCCTTGCAGAGCTACCCACTATGTAGGCTTAGTACATGTCATCGTGTTTCATTTCAAGTACAGAGTTGGTCTGCGTTTTGTTTTGTTGCATACAATGTTATCATGGTTCAGTTATAGATTATATATTTTCTATTGAATTACTGTTAGTATTACTCTATGACTACGCTAGGCTTAGCGATTGTTTATACCGTAATTGTTGATGATGTTTTGCAGTGAGTAGTAATCCTTATTTTCCACATTTTTATATTAAAATAAATATCCTCTTCTTTATAAAAAAAAGAAAGAAAATGGAAGTTCACTGGAATTAATTATAGTTATCTACAAGCACTTATCAAAGATTGTAGATTAGAATTTTTCACGACAACCAATCGCGCTTAATATCCATTAGGCCCACATTAATTTCAAATTAGACTTAGGCCTGGTCTAGAATAAAGACTAAGCTAAAGTAGTGAATCGTAATGACGAGTTAATTTGGATAGATTATGATACCAAATATATAAGTATAGTGAAGTGAAAAAAGAAGGGCATAACAATTAAAAGTGTGAAAAGGAAAGAATAAAGCTAATATATA